GCCAAGAATCATCTCACGCTGTTTTTACTCTGTCTCTCTTACTACAAATAGTTCCAGTGGTTATAACCTGTGCTGGCTTCCTTTTTCACTCATAACTATATCACTAAAAAAAAAGAATAAGAAAGATATAAAACCGAACAAAAAGTACATAAAAAATGATTTATGTCTTCTTCTGACGTTGTTTGTAATGTCAATGAGTTTATGTTTGGGCTCTCGTCCTTGCTTACCTTTTTTTAAAACATACAGGTAACTCTTTCTGGCTGTTAAATATATTTTTTAAATAAAATTATCTTACACACGACTGAGGCCTGTTAGGGTATTTGTTTGGCTGCCATAATGGGTGACGAAGTTCAGAGGAGAGCCAAAAAAGTTTATGTAAAAAAATATTTACTCACAATTCTGAATGTTCACCCCATTTTTTTAACTTCTATAATGTCTGCCACACAGAGAGGTAGGCAAATTAAAATTTAAAAAACAAATCCCCTTACTACTTTTAAGGATTGCATTATGGGCTCTCCTCCGAACTACTACCTGATCCTGATATTATAGCGGCCAAGCAAATAGCGATTTGTTCCTTGGCAGAAAGTCCGCAATTTACACTCGACTGAGGCCCTGTTACGCCTTTTGCTTGGCCGCCATAATATTGGGTAGAAGTTCGGAGAGGCTATGCAAGAATACTGAATACTAATATATAGTAATAGTAATAGCACCTCAAGGCTTAAAGGATGAATAGATCAAACAGGAGCAAATCCCATAAACCCGGTATGATCATAAATGTTATATTAGGGCCCCTGGCGGTTTACATGGGACTTTCTTTGTATAGTAAAATGTGAGCGACAACCCGGCTACTGAAACTTTCATGTTTCTGTTCTGGAAAACGATGAGATGAATTTCAGAAGTGAACAATAATGCAATGCGGCGCCGCCCTGTCCGATGTACCCGTGGGTAGAAATCGTCGATATGCCAGCTAGACTGTAAATGAATACAAGACACTGAAGATTCTATTAAATCTTTCAAAATAATTTTTAAAATAATATTATAGCGTTTACATACCGAATTTCCTTTATCTTCTCCAGCCGATTTAGAACTAGCATTTGGTTTTCGGCAGCCATTGTTGTTGTCTGGAGCTATTGAAGCCAGGAATTTTGTTAGTTATCTCCCTTTATGCATGCTGCAGTTGGTCTCTCCACCCCGTCCAAATAATTCTTTGTCTCCTCTTTCTTCTTCTAATGCTTCTCCCGCTTCTTCTTCTTCTTCTTTTTCTTCTTTTTCTTCTTCTTCTTCTTCTTCTTCTTCTTCTTCTTCTTCTTCTTCTTCTTCTTCTACTTCTTTTTCTTCTTCTAGTTTAAATTAATCCAGGATTGCATTCTGAAGGATGACAATCAAACAGGTAAAAATATTGGAAACTCACTCCGTTTAACTGTATCATCACTACATCTTCTTCTTTTTCTTCTTTGTGTTTCACCAGCTGTACACTCTGGCGTAAAGTTCTGGTTGTTCGTCCACTTCTGGATTGCAGTCATGCTCCAGAACCTGAGTGTTGCGTGTGCATCAGTTTTACAGATCTGATTCAATTGAATGCAGACTGCTGGTTCCTTGCCTCTCAGGCAGATGCACTCCGACTTCAAAGGAAGCTCCCCAGTTAGTCGACTCTTACGACATGCTTTTGGGGAGGAAGTAGGTCTATTCTTGTTTTTCCCCACAATAGGGCCCCGGAACCCACACGGGGGTCATCACTACTGCAAAAGCCACATTTTTTTCCCCGCTTTTCTCGTCCAGTATTGTAGGCTGTAGTGTTAACAACTCACGGATGGGAATCAACGCTGTTAGGGATCGAGATGAAGTCCATATTTAATTTAGCAACGGTGCCATAGAAGTGCAATTTTCCATACAAGGAAGAGTTGAGTTGATTTGTGTCAAGAATTTACATCACAGCACTCTGGGCATTCCCATGCATGCTCCGTTCTCATCTTTAGCAGCCAGCACAAAATCCCAGTATCAATAGTACAAACGGCAATTTAGTTATATGTCCGTCTTGCCTTTCCTTTAAATATAATGAGTCGGTCAGACTCTCTGTTACACCCAAGTGCCCCATTCTCTCCAGGCCACAAAAATCTTGTTTCGCTTCTGGCTCGGTTGCTTGTTTCCAAAGGGCCTTGACCACACCTGCCTTGTCATGTATCAATTCAGCACCCAGTGGTTCAGATCCAACCAATCTGTCTGCCTGTTCATTCCCCACCACGCCAGCATAACCTGGAGAAAAGATCCCATGCAAGCTTACTACCCGTGACCTTCCCAGTGAAGCTTGCCACTTTGCATGCTTTTTGGGTATGTTACAATTATGACACGTGTTCTCTAGCCACCAGAAAGCTGTAGTTACCGCCTCCACCTCCATTCTCGTGCTAGACGTGGTAACGTTTTATGCTAGGCTGTCCTGCCCTAAAGATTTTTCTTTGGCTTTCGCTACGAACCCCCAGGCACTTCTTTTCCTTCTCAAAACCGAACGATTTGTATAGATAACCAGATCATCTGGGCGAGAATTGTCGTGAATCAAATGTTTCTCTGCACTCCCGTCCTAGTGTGTTCATAACCCTACACAAATCAGAATTTTCCTCTGGTACTCTGACCCACTCCTTTCCTCGCCCATTATTTTTCAGCATGCATAATAGTCTTATTCTATCTTCTGCTTTAGTCATCCCCGACTTATCCCTTTTCAGCCTCTGACCTTTACCTGCAGCCAAAGCTTCATACAGAGGGTATTCTTTATCTGCAGCTACTCTGAGGTATGACAGCCTGCAGCACTTTTTGCCTATCTGCAATAGTCGGCAATGCAAGAATGTATCGCATGTACACAATCAGGGTGTCTCTTGTACATTCCAGGATCACCCGGATAGATTCGTTCTGTATGCGCTCCAGTTTCTCTAGCTGACTCTTCGAGACAATGATTAACCCCAGTCCATAATCAATCACTGAAATGATTAAGTTCTGGTAAAGTGTGAGCGTCAGCTCTGTGGCTAAGTCGATGCTAACGCTTCGTAATGCTAGGGTGCCGGGTTCGATCCCAGCTGCGGGCCATGCGCTGGTTTCGACAGTGGTATCAGGGAGCCGACCGTCCAGTAAGAAATGGCAAACTACTGGACGTACATTTGCCTAGAGAAACCACACAACAGCCAGGGGCTGCTGGGGTTGGTTCTGCAACGTCCTGTAAAGGATACGCATCTAAAAAAAAGTGTGAGCAGCATTCTCTGCTCTTGTCGCGATATCGCGTGTTCTATATTCTACGATGTGAGCGCTTTTAGCGGTCCCACAATTGTTAGAACTGGCCTAACTCTAACCCACAGCCTTAGCCTACGTTCCACGAAAGAGTGCAGCCTACGTCCCACGACTGCATGCAGCCTAGAATATGTTGTTACCCGTCCTCTTTCCTTCAATTTTCCCACCATTTCGGAATAAAAACTAAGCATGTTATGTCCTTTTATATGGCCTAAATATTTTAATTGTAGTTTTTTATTTCAATTAGCAACTCTTTATTCATTATTAGTCTCGTAATAATTCTGTATTTGACAAACATAATATTTTATAATGAATAGAACTGAGAACATTAATTTTGTTTTGCCATGAAAAGCAGTATAGAGCACGAAGACTATTTTACGACATTTTGAGCAGCCGTTGTCCGGCTCTAACATCCGGTATTCATGGCCGTCTGTTTTGGATCAGTGAGGCCGATAGAAATGATAATTTGTGGATTTCCGTAAAGTTTTCCCAAAGCAGGTAATGTTTTAGTGTCTTCCAGCGAGTTCTACCCAGGTTATTTTGTGGATTATTTTTCTGTATGAACGTTTGAAATGAAAGTGAGTCCATGCATCTAGCCAAATGTTTCCAGGGAGGGTGCTAAGTGTAGAAGTTACCAGTCCTCCTCTGCCCTGAAAAGAGGAAAATAATAAATTATATAATATAACCCATATGAGAGTTGCAGTATACTAAGAGTGCAAGTTTAAACCCAGATAGAAGTACTTTTCTGATTGGACAGACTTATACAAGAAAGTAAAAATATAAGTAAGGCCTGGCACATCTTGCAGCCGGGATCATCCCGGAGATGTCGATGCTAGGGGACGCAGTGTGTGTGTACAGAAAATTAACATTACTGTAACTGTAAGTGCCGACCCCATGGAACGTAATCCACTTTTTGTGTAGGTTTAAATAATAATGATATTCTTTCATATATAATAGTGTTAGAGTTAGGGCTAACCCAAACCTGCTCTCACCCAAACCTTTACTTTATGTGAAGCAGTTTGAAATTTTAGTTATTATATTATTACAGATCATTTTAAACTATAAATAAACTATGTGAATGTACACAAACAGTGGATTGCCTTATGGTCGCTGTAACTGTAAACAAACAGATTGCATCCCCTAGGGGCGCCATTTCAAGGAGTCATTTTTTGTTAGTTTTATATTATTTAGTAACGTTCCATTGATGGTTAGCGTTGTTTATGCATGTCTTTCTGTTTCACTTAGTTTAACTGTTTTCCTAGTCATAGCAAATGTGTCACCCCATAGTTGCTCCGCTCCTGTGCTAAAAAAACATCAGAATATCCATCACCGTCCCTTGTGGAAAAATTGACACAGAATGCAGTTTCAACATATCCACTAGCAAACACACTCATTAAAAGCATAGAACAGCCATTGGAAGTGCTAACACAAACAGTCCGACATTAGAAATGCAGTTCCTCGTCGACGGAACAGCAGTTTAAAAACAGATAAGCAGCTGCATAAGCGATCAGTTTAAATAACATAATCCACGCCAATACTGTGGTAACAGGTCACGCACCATTTTCTGGCACGCCAATACTGTGGTAACAGGTCACACTACCATTTTCTGGCACGCCAATACTGTGGCAACAGGTCACGCCCCATTTTCTGAATTTACAGTTTACAACACCGTATTGGTCATGTTAAAAAAAAAACTGTCCAGATGAGATCCGCAGCTCAGAGTGTCATGCTAATCACTCGTCTGAGTAGCGTGGCAACAGAACTGTTCTTTCATTCTACAAATTAAGGAAAATGCAACAGCCACCATCTGTCAAAAGCAAAATGTTTGCTACCGCTAAGAACAATGACTATGCCTATTGTCCATTTTGTCCAGAATCCACTCACTCTGTTATCACATGACTTCGTTCGGTGTTCATACAATGTGCAAAAAAAGTGTACACACAGAGTCAACAAATGTCTTCCTTACAGAAATGCACAGCTTTCTTTTGTGTGAATGACTGTGCAGCTAACTTTCTGTGTGAATGTGTGGGTTGTTTTAAGCAATTTCAGCGTTTATTGCATCATCATTTTTGATGTGTGTTACCTTAAATTAATTTGTGTGAAATGAACACTGATGAACCTAACACCCCTACACTATGGGATTTTCCCAGGAATTGCCCATGAAATCTTGGAGGCCACGAGTTGGGGTAAAATAAAAAAAGAATATATATATATATATATAAGTACAAATCCCTTATATTACCTGGTACCAAGGGATTCACCCCCAAAATTTCCTCATTTGCATTTCAGGGCCCCATTGTGTGTTACAAATTAACAGCCCCATTGCCCCCTAATAAGCATGTCATGAGAGTATAAGATCCTAAGAAGAATACATGGCATTAAGTGGCAGGACAAAATCACAGAGGTGCTGGAAAGAGCAGGTACTACAACAGTCTTTTCTATGCTCAGTCTACGAAGGCTCAGGTAGCTGGGTCACACCTGGAGAATGGAGGATGTCCCTAAGGACATCCTTTATGGCGAATTAAAGACAAGTAGAAGATGTCGAGGCCGACCTCTACTACGGTATAAAGATGTGTGCAAGCAAGACATGAATGATACAGGTATTGATGTGGACTCCTGGGAACAAAATGTCATGGGCCATGTTGTGCGGAAAGGGCATATCAGGAAGGGAGTGAGAGTGAAGGAAGAAAAGATTGCAGAAAGGATGAGAGCTAAGCGTCTGAAAAGAAACGCATTAAACACAAATGTTGACAACAATAGTCCTGAAATCCCATGCTCATCATTGTGAGGGACTTTTCTTGACACGGGCGGGTCTTGCTAGTCAAGCCATTGCCATGGG